CTTAGCTACGGAGAACCCATCCAAAAAATTTATTTGAAAGGAGGTAAGTGACAACATACTTCAAAACCAGACAACAAATAATCTAGTAACGAGACAACTCAACCCACTCAACACAATTTCCGATCATTATTTTATCTGCTGTTACAACTAAATAATATTAACTAAAAATATAATCTCCTTCAACATATTCCATATTCAGTAACCGATTTTTCATCATCTAACACACTTATCTTGAGTTTCCCGGCAATATCAGAGATTAGCATGAAATTTCTAAATAATGTCAAACTCATTTCACTTCATTGCATTCTACATCTCCATTAATATCTATCCAGTTGTCTCATTATTGGATTATCTGTTATCTGACTTTAAAGTATCTTGTCATTTACTTTCTTTTAAATAAATATGTTTTGAATGGCTTCTCTGTAGCTGAGGAGAAGGTGACAAAATAGAAAGATGTCATCGTATTCTGCAAAGTTGATTGTCCTTATAATTTTTTAAATTCTTAAAGGGAACTAAGTGTATACAATTTTGAGGATATTTTCCCTATGAATTAAACCAATGAAATGAAGTTTTTTCGCAAGGTACACATCTGTGACTTTTTAAAAATTGTTCATCATATAACCAGCTAAATAAATGACAATAATTCTGTGAAAATTTAGTCAGAAAATATTTCAAATGTTAAAAAGTAGAAAAGTTTATGAGCTTTTAAGTAGAAAAAAATGTTCAGGTGACGTTAATTCTCACTAAGTGTGCATGCGATACTTGGAGAAGTAAAGGAAATAGAAACTTACTAACTAATTTACATGATATTTCAAAATAAAGTTAAACTATATTGGTTATAAGTAAAACACCATGGAAACAGTTTTACTGAAAATTTGGGGATTGATCAAGAAAATAAATTTTAATGATCAATAGGAAGTGTACCTATAACATACTTGTTGAGTTGGATTTTCTAAACTGACAGTTGTTAGTTTCTATTACTTCACAAGGCATAGATATACTGAGCTAAAAGGATATGCAGGTGGTGATTTCACAAACAGAATTAACTACATATTCACGATCCCATTGATAGCTATTTATTTAGTTGGTAACTTAGTGGAAATTTAATTTCCCTCAATGGTGCAATGAACGGTAATAACGTTATTATAACATGTTATGCACAGTCATAAATTAGTAGCTAAAATCTGCACGATATTATCGTTGTTATTTCTTACCTTAAGTTCTTTTCAGTCTGTGGATTAAATCTAGTTTTCAGACAACTTGATGAAATCTCTGATTTGTGTTGTGTTGTTTAACAACACAGAAATAAACCTCACACATGTGTGCACACACACACACAAACAACACATGAATGAACACGACCGATGTAATTGCGACTGAAGACTAAGAACGCCTTCAGTCTTTACGGAGAATTAAAAAAGAATGGAACATGATTAATTACAGGATGAAATCAATTCATATGTGCACTTGCACGCAGATAAATCCATAGACAGAATAAAAAGCATGAGGATGAATGAAAATTAACATCTTTGGCTACAACATATTGAGTGAGCAACAAAGTATCAAATTTTATGACCAGTGATTCTTGAAATACTGTTAGGGGATACAGCAATCGATTGCCTTATATAAGGCATGTTTTCCAAGCAAGGACTTGATTCAGTCGGTCGACATTTCTCATAGTGGATTTGGGTGTAAGTAAACATGTAGGGTTAATCATTACGCTTCTGATAGTCATAAGTAATGGGCTGAATACTTTGTAGTCTAACTCATAGCTACCAGTCGGATTCAGAAAGCGCCTTCCGTCCTATTGAAGACCCGTCGGTTGGATGTACCTACTACCACCCAGTGAGGAATATTGTTCTCACTAAGATTCGAACCCGATCCCCGTCACTTTAAACGACAAAGCGTTGCCCACTAAGCCACTGGAGTACAAAAGTTGTCATTTGTGCAAGGCATACTAGTCCCTGCTGTTGTTTCATACCTATCATTTCCAAATTCCAAATTTCTCAAACGAAACATGTGATCTGGACTCCACTGTTAGTTACCAAGTTGACTACAAACTAGTGAATGTCCGAGCAGTATCATGGCATCCGCATAGCAACCTACCTGTCAAGAGAGGTCAAGCAGTTCAACCCAGCATAGCAGCGGGAAATTAAAGTGTCAGTAAACAACCTAGATACTTATTTGGTCGTTGTATGAAGTGAGGTTGAGTAGTATGAGAAAGTTTAATTAATTTCTTAAACATCGCTATTTCATGGTAGAAACAGCATTCAGGTTAATATAGTTAGCTTATCTGTAAAACTATACGAAACAGCGACTTTTTGGTAAAGTTTCTTGTTTTTTTAAACACTACTCATGAATTGAATGGGTTAACGAGACAGTATTCACATTTACTTTGCTAACAACAACACAAAAGATTTTATAGCAGTTGGCAGTTCAAATCAGTCAATGAGAAACTTTTCCGGAGCTTAGACGCAAATAAATGACAATGGCTTAAATCAGGTATTCAAGGAATGTAAACGAAAATAAATAGGCAACAAATAAAATTTGTTTTATGAAACACTACCTGGTGCAAATCTTAACTTGTAGGGGATTTTTTTCTCTCTGAATTACTAAAAGCGATAAGCTTTTTATACCGGTGACAAAATATGAACAATCTGGAATTTCACAGTTAGGTTTCATTAAGGAGGGTGCTTAGGAAGTCGTTAATCCTGAGGCAGACAAATATAGCAGCGGAAGCAACATGAGTTCCTTCATTAAACTGTGCTTTGATTTTTGATGAGAATTTTCAGTCAGATCATAATTTATCAGTGGAAAATTGGATGAAACGTTGTATTATCAACAACTGTTTCAGGACAGAAATGTCCATTATTTTATCGATAGCAAAACGGAAGCATTGTCAGAACTGTGAAGTTAGGCATTTAAAATGATTAGTTTACATCCACTCATGAACTGAATAGGGAATGACAACGATCCCTAATTGATCTTTACCACAAAAACTGCTTCATATTATAAACACAGTAAACTGCTTTTTGAGGTATACATGTCTAGTAAGACACATATGAGTGACACTGTCTGTGGTGACTAGAGTTGTCTCAAAGGTGTACTTCAAAATTTAAGTAGTAACCAGTCAGTAAAGTGAATTTTGAAATTCGGAAAGAGATAGAAATTTTGGTGTATTTTCCCGAAAAGAGGGGCAAATAGTTCCTTCAATACACCAAGCTAACAGAAGCTGACATAGATTTATGAGTATTTAAATTTCGAATGGATCATTATGAAAGCTGTCTACATTGAAAGTGTTTACATAGATAACACCGGAATTACTACCCTGCTTCACACTTCTTAACATGGTTCTGTATATCTCTTCGGGGAATGATATAATTCAAATAATGACTTAAAATTTGGATATCTAATTTATCGTATTCATTCAGCCCATTCAGATCCTAGATATAGAGGCAAGTGGTCGAAGCACAATTAAATTATTTGCAGTTCCTTACTTCAAACCTGGACTCTGTCGGAAAGTCGTTTGTTCATTCCTTTCCTTTTCATGACATTTCTCTTCTTTTTTTTTACCCTTGAGATTCCACTTGATAATTAGTACGATTACAAACTTTCAGCTATAGTTCTTGCTTACTTCTCTATCAAACCGACATTCAACTCCTTCGCTTCCAGACTGAATACAGCTGGTAACTTATCGATTTTCATTGTTTAACAGAAACCTATATTGTCTTATAGATCATCACAATTTTCTACTTTGATCTGCTAGGTACGGTGTTCATTCGGATTCTGGTCATCTTCCTACATTATTGTTATTATAATTATTTCAGTTAAGGCATTTGAAATAGTTCATTATGCTGGTACAAGTATAGTTGTTGAAGTCAAAACAAAAACTCCAAGACAACAGACTTTTGTCAGCGGCATCTAAATTACTTGTCTTAGAGAAGAGGCTCAAACATTTTATAATCTGATGAGCTGTTTATGAGGCAGGTGAAAACAAGGCTTGATTACAGTTTCTTGCTGCAGATAAAAATCGAATTCAGTCGAGCGAATAGGGTCTCATTTTATTTTATTTAAATTAGGGAATATCTTGCATTTCATTTCCATATATTCTTTTTTTCATGAAGCCTGTCATCATTAGTTCTTGACTGGCATGGAAACTTGGAATGATTACCTTCAACTAGAAGTTATTTTGATTTTGAATAATACGGTAATGCAGGTCGAACTGGTCGAAACACAAAGGTGGTGAAAATAGCCCTTCTGTGCTAAGATGACTACGATTCGAATGATGATCTCCGTTAATCAGAGTGAATGGTTTCCAGCCATTCATGTAGTTAAATAGTATACTTCATTTGAATTCTAGTAGTTTAACATCATTCAAATTTATGAGCAGTTAAATTAATGTAGGATGCATTGTGCATTTGTTTTCGCTTATGTTGATGATTGCCAAGCGCAGAAACCTAAAACAAGTTTTGGAGTTCATCATATGTCCTATCACAAACAGAAATTATTTCTAGAATTTCCGTATCTGCTCATAATCAACCAAAGTCTCATTGAAAATATTCCCTTTACTTACCACCTCAAACGGTTCTTAGGGTTAAAATAAATCACCCACATACTTATGGTGGGTTCATCAGTTGCTAGGATCAAAGATGTCTACCTCTGAACAATTTAATCATATTTGCTAACTTTCATTTCGCTTAAAGATGAACCTTCACTTCAATGGCTATTTTTTATTTGAGCAGTGAATCTGCGGTATTTTATACCGCCTGATACTACTGTTGCTTGATCGTGCCGTTTTTATCTGTAGTTTTTTATCCTTTTTTCACATTTCATGACCAGGTGGTTCTTAGTTGCTGTTTTAGTTATAGTCATTGTATATGTTCTTAGATAAATGTTTATTTTTTTTCGTGACGAACAACTTACATAACAGAGTTTTGAACTGTTTGGAAATAACAGTTAATTCGCATATGTTACATGTCATACTTTATTTTCTGCTGTAGAATAAACAACTCCAACTGTTGTGTGAAAAAGACACAGAAGCCCTGAAACATGTTACTGAACTACAAAAGTCTAATGATATGTTGAATAATTATTGTACAGAACTGAAGAAGAAATTAGAAGATCTACAGGAAGAACTTACAAGAATGGTAAGATAATCATTATTTACAAGGCATCAAAGTATATGTATAACCTCTGAGCATATTTAAGCTCCTTGAGGAAAGTTGGATGGTGATAATACGCAAGACTAGATGTGCTTAAAGGTTACGTTATTTATGGAACATGTCAAGTCATACTGTACTTGATCTCAAAGAGATATTTATTCCTTTTTTTGGACCAGTCGTTATTCAAAGTAATTTAAGACAATAACAAGTAAAGTTACATGAAAACCTGTGACATATTAGGACTGAAAGTAAGACCACTGGATTATATTCCGAGGACCTTATCAATTAAGTCAAACAGTCTAGCTTTTAGCCAGGTTTCAGTTCGACTTCAGTTGTTAAAAGACTTATCCGGCCACATATAACTGAGTCTCACTTAAATTTTTATGTCCACGGTAGTTACTCGATTGAATTTTCTCGTCTAAATCCAGTGTGGCTTATATCACGGTAAAAAAGAACAAGTGATGCATTACTCATGAGATTAAATGAGATTATTGATTGTCAGGTTGGTCAGATATATCGAGGTGATAACTGAGATTAGAAAGAAAACTGGGATTATTATTCACTTATCAGATTACAAGCGAATGAATGTCGACAGACTGAAAACAAGTTGAGATTCAGTTGTCAGTTGAGAGCTGTCGCTCAGTTGGTGAATCTTTGAGTTAAATTCTGACTTGATATCAGAATTCCTTTGATTTTAAGCATTATTCTAATGAACCTAAAACAGTATGCCAGCTAAGCCTATTTCAATTCAGTCAGATATCTAAATATAAATTCCACTCACTTTTATTAAATGACAGCATTTAACCAACTAGTCATATTTACTGGATTACGATTAGTTTCCAAAAAAGGCTGAGTGTGGTCCAACTAAGGGATCAATCTATGAGGAATCTAACTATTGATCTTAGGCGTGTAGAGTAATCAAGGATTTATGGTTTCGCTTCTAATGACAAGTGAAGTAGACGATTGAAAAATTCAAGTGATGTGGCACTGAATCCGTTTCTTTGGTGCAGATATAGCCTGTCTTAGCTTACTACCAACCGTTGTACCATTTTTCTTTGTTTGCTTGTCCAAGCCTGTTAAGTTTTATAGCCTTTTGACATTCAGCCTATTATTTACATTTCCTTGTTGCTAAGTCTCTGAATGTATTGATGTGAGACATGATAGCCCGATTCGATGAACAGTAATGTTGATGGTCAGTGACAGGTCCAGCATGTATTGGAAACGAAAATTACAATAGTAAGAAAATTTAGTGTGCTGAACTGTTAGTGTTTTTAAATTGCAATGAGCCATATGTGCAGAGCGAAAAACAGGTATTTCATGGCCTGCGCAGTGGTCTAGGCGGTTCGTCTACAATCAGATTCAAAGTATATTACTAGGTACCAAGATCAGAATACTTCATCCAATGCTACTTGCTCCACAGAAGTTTTTTCCATTGAAAATGCTTCTGTGTGGTCGTTTCATTCTTCATATGAAATATAAAGTCATTTGTATGTTTTGTACTATGTGTAGTGGACCCAAAGAATGTCAAGTGAACCAAAATGATAAACTACGTACAATTTACATGAAAAATGAATTTTATGATACACATGTTTGAAAAGTTATACGTTATAGCATAAATAGTATTCTTAATGTTATAGATAATCGCTGGTTACTTAGAGATTATCTCTTCGGTATTGTCCACCACAATTTTAGGATACTCCAGAGATCAGAAGGCGATATTCGTTGTCTCTCCACTGTGATCGTCGGTCGGCTTGATTGTCGTAATATTTGGAAGTAGGCTGAGAAGTCCTATAAATTCCGAAGACAATAAGTTATTATGCACGACAGGCAAAAGTCACGGAGGCAGAAGTCGGAATGGTTAGAAGCACATTATATTTCCACGACTAGCAGCAGCAAAAGATGCAATTACCGCCACAACCAAAAAAGTGTATGTATAAACAACATTCGTTTTTACAAGTATTAGGAAGAATGTACAGAATGAGTAAAAGAAACGATGAAAAGGAAATATTGCTTATAGTTGAAGTGGTTTATACACAATTGTATACAGTCTCCACATACGTCATCTGAACGCTGTCTATTTGTTACAAGCACTACCTACTTTAAAAACTAGCTTACAATATCTACCACTTGAAAAACAAGTTTACTCATTTAACACCACTTTTCATAAAACTAAAAAATCTCGGGAAGACGCTTGCAGGAGGGTCTTCATCACTAACTACGTAGATTTCGTCATGATCTACAATTGTCAATTAGATTAAGATTAAATTGTACTTTCAGTCCCTGAATTTTGTTCATCACTTTTGCATGATAAAAAGTTACGTATTTTTCGCCTTTCCTCACAATACCGATCTAAGTTAATCTCCTTATTCTGTCTACGGCCCAAGTAGTATTATGATTTCTGTGAGGAAATAGAGCTTGTGCAATAAAATTTTAAAACAAAAACGTTTTTTTAAACTTGAAAAGTGATTATGTAAACATAATAAGTAGGAGACAGCCTTTTATCCGGATAAAAATAAATATGACCTAAACGAACTGGAAAATGCTCAGTATCCAATTTTAAGTAGGATAGAATTTGAAAATCTGAAGGTTAAATTTCCTCATATCAAACAGTCAACCGCTGCTTATCAAGGTTAAGTAAACACCATCTGTATATAGTTTGAACTTTAGTGAGCTGTCATTATTCTGAATATGCATTTATTTTTTGTGTGAAGCAGGTTTTGAAGTCGAAATACGTTTATACCTTTTATTTCTCAACAAATAAATTACTTCAACATTTTACTATCGTGGAATGATGTCAGTCCATGATGAATACTACCCCTGAAATCAACGAATAAATCCCCACAAACCTCAAAATCGAATTTATTATTACTGTTAGTTAGAGCTAAATACAAAGACATGCAATTACATTAAATGAAGACTCCTAAGCAGTCGGTTGTTAGAATCTATGAAATAATCTTATCTGTTAGATGAGGGATGGTACCTGAATTAAAAGGAGAATAGGACAGCATTTGAACCCTAACAGACAGTTTGTAGTTTCAAGATGCAGCTACTGATCAGTTTTAAATAACTTTTCAGCATTATCCGATATTACTTTTTATCGTGCACTCGACAAACCAAAAGTAAATGATTAATTAGAGAATAAAAATGAAGATTTTTGTGGAAAAAAACCAAGTAGGCTGGCTATTTTACGATCAAAATTTTTCTTGTAAAGATAAGGTAATATGTATGATAAAAAGGGTGATGTCAGTATTACGTGCAATAAAGACTACTGAATGATAACTCGATATTCGTTGATTAACCATTCTTTCTTTCAGCATTTGTACATAGTGTGTAGCCACGCACAAACTCATTTCATAAGTACTGTGGTTACAGTTTCGTTGTGACACTGACTTTATTCCTTAGGAAGAGTTACTAAGTATTTTCAAGAGATATATTATAGTAGGTAACTGAGAGTTTATTGTGAAAATCTGGGGCAAACCTGTTGTTACATAAGTGTCAGAGAGGTATACAGTAATCTAGACAATCGTTATGCCTCTCATCTGTTTGACTGCGAAACGCCAAACAAAATGTTTCATTGCGAGTTCTTTAACTCTATATTCTTGAAACTTGGCCAATTTCAACCATCTTATGGTTCAGCTGAAAACAGGTAGTAAACACATTTGAGCATTATTAAGCTTTGATGAAACTTGTTTGGATCGTCATTTAGTTGTCGAATTTATTTGTGATTTAAAATGAAAACCTACTTTGAAATTCTTTTCCTTTATATGGCAACAGGGTGAAGATTTAGGATTAATTTTTCAAGGTTTTGCAACCTTTATCTAAGTTATTCGTCACCATAGTGTAGTGTTTTCATTACATCCGAAAATGGGTTTTTGAAAAGCTATACATTTTAGTCTATACAATTTCTGCAATGGCCTATTTCTTGATGTAGATTCCTGACTTACTGGTGCTCCGTCTTGCTCTTTCAAAAATTCGAAGAAATCTTCTTCCGATACTTGATGAAATGGCCTAAAGCCTGAACGTAGTTCTTAGTGAGAGTGCTTTTTTCAAACAATGTTACCCAAACTTCCTTGCGTTTTTTGATGATTCAGCAGAAGGCATGAAGTGGTTGCAGGTTTTTGATCACAGATTTCTTTGCAGCATTGGTCGCATTTGGTGAAATCATCGTGTGATCAATGCTGAGGTCGGGTGAAGGATATTAGGCAAGACAGGCAAGTCGATTGGTAAGGTTGTGAACCCTGGCCCACTGAGATGGCTTAGACATATACTGCGCATGCCCATCCACCACCTACCTTGACATGTCATGCTATGGGATGTCGGATTAGGTTGGAAGAGAGTTTAGGGTGGCCAGGGCAAGACGTGATATCAGTCGATGAAGTTTCTGACTGTTGGTTTCAGTCATATAGGTGGCTGTAGACTATCTGAATTGGGTCCCAAAGACCACAGGGATCAATGGTTGCAAACTCTTGGTAACATAGCTAATAGTCTGTCGCAATGACACTCTTTGTCATCCATTGGAGCCTGAATATTCTCATTAACCTTCGCTTTTCAATTTCTTCTCTCTCAGTAAAATTTTACTTACTTTGATTTCATCCTTTCTGTATGCATTTGTTATTTACACGTTCTATCCTTTTTGGTTCCTATTTATCTTGTGTTGGTTAGACCACTGAATTTTTGCAAAAGTGAGGTTTCCATGTCTTCCACTTCTAATGTTTTGAACTTCTCACACACATATTTCTATCACATTCTTTGGGTAGGATTATCTTTTGTTGAAACATTGTGTTCCACAGTGTTTGTAAGTATGTCCGGTTCGTTCAAGGCTGTTAGGAATCTTAAGGCAGTCTTGTGCTTTTTGGTAACAGGAAAACTTGGACGCTGCTAAAGGTAAACATAATTTTTCACCGCATAATTTTTTTAAGAATCAACCTTTAGCTTATTCTAAAGCTTTCGTTATAAATTGAGTTCATTTCCACGAAGCCTATCAT